GAAAAAGAAAATAAAAATATTTTTTTTTTGTGATGCAACAGCAGGGCATGCCACTGCCTTGTTATCACTGAGGGGAAGTCTTGTGTTGCTAAACCTACAGGTTTCTTTTGCTCATGAAGGACCCTCAGTTTCAAAAGGAGAAAGCTACGATTCAAATGTGTCTAATTCCTGGATTAGTTATCACTGTATTCTGGGATTTTACACTCATAGATTGTGGTATTCTTCAACCACATCTCAAGTTGCTTAGATATCCAAGCTCTTTGATAATTCCTCTAATTTACACTAATTTTCAACCAGTTGGAACAGGGATAACCTCTCATACTTAGGGTATTACCATCTTTAACCTCAACATTGTACCTTCCATGAACTCAGGACCTGCAGCATCCTAAGTGTTAACAATGTTAGCGAACTATTGCGACAACTTTCCCTTGTCTTCAAAGGTGTGGAAGGGTTACAATTATCCATATGAGGAGGCACCTGCACCAACAGAAACAGAGTTTCCCATGTTTGACACTGGAATTGCTTCAAAATTTTCCCTGCCCTTGCTCTGGGCTTGTTCTTTTCTTGCTTCTAACTCAGCCACAGCAGTTGACAAACAAGGAAAGACATTAAATATACAGAAATGGTGAAAGAAAAGCAAGCAAAGCAGAGGAACCCAGCATTTAATACTCAGTGACTTTTCATTCTTCTTCTGCACTACTTGTGGAGGACAAAGTGGAGAAAATTTTGCTTGGAATCGATAAATTTCAGGTTGTGCCAAGGTTGCTCATCTTCCCTTTGTGTTCTGAACTCACAAAGAACTCATCCCCTTTAACTACAACATGACTACCAGTTTATCCTGCATTCTGTACTCCTGAAGCACCACCTTTACCTCTTTCTTATCTCCTTGACTGCTTCCCAAGGTTTTTCTTGCATTTCTCATCACTTCTGGTGCATCTGTTATCCAGGTTAATGCATCTGCCTCAGCAGGGGTCTCTGGTACAACTGAGAACCTAATTAGCTGCAGAGGATTTCATGGAGTCCAGGAGCATAGCAGACCCCAGGCAGGCTGAGGCATTTTCGAAGATAACAAGGTACCCAGGACCCTCACAGTGAGGGCCAACAACAATTTTTGGGAAAAAAAAAACCAACACAACATATTTTCTCTTCCACCTCATGCTTGAAGGTGCAATACCACTGCTAACAGGAAAGACGTGGTGTTAAACCTCTGTTGACAGGGAGAGATGCAACAGAAACCTGGTGATTGCCATGGTGATTTCCACACCGTTGGTGGGAGGGACCATGGTGGCACCATGCAAGATCCCCAGTTAGCTCTTCCTAATGCACTGAGGGGAGGCAGATGGAAGCAAGGTGTAGGAGCAGGAATAGAGTGTTACATGCTGTTGGAAACAATGGGGTGAAGTAGACAGATTAACAGGTCTGTCTGATGGTAGGTCTTCTGTGCTTCATGGAACTGCTCATGGGTTTAAAAGTAAGCACTTAAATGCCTATTGGCTGCACAAGGGCTTTAGTGCTCTTCAAACTAGTGAAGCAGATGATACTTCAAAGGCATTAAAAGTAGGTTAAGGAAAAGTATTTCACAGACTGAGTAGATATTTGAATAAAATTGACAGCCTTTAAGTGTAGATGAGGAAATGGAGGGGGTTCTCAGTGGGATCATCTCTATAGGGTTAGAGAATAGCTCTGCTTTATTCCCTCTTCAGCACTTGGTCTCCCTGGCGTGACTGCCAAAAAAGGACAAGTTGTACCAACTCTGATGGGAGTTATCATTCCACTTACCAACAGACTGAGACAAGCGATTCTTTTTTACACAGGCCACCTAGAAACCGCCAACAAAAAAAAATACAGCAAAGGAAGAATGAGAAAACACTTTTTTTTTTTCCACTAGTCAGTATTAGCCAGTTAGCTGGGCATGTTCTGAGAGGGCTGAATCGCCGATACAGGCAAACGCAGGCACTGATAACAATGTGATCCAACCCAGCACAGCTGATCTGTGCAAGGGCTTGGCACCTTCACTGGGCTGAAAGGAGCTGGTTAACCCTTACCCCTTCATCATCTAGAAGCAACTCCTTCACATCTGATTTAATGAGTCCACTTTAAAGGGCTCTGAAGCATGGTTAAATGCATTTAATATACATTTTACTTCTGTGATTAGTAATACTTCAGATGACTAAAACTGAAAAATTGTATTTTCTACCCCCCCCTTTTTTAGCCTTTTGCTCAGATGAAGTAACAAAATAAGGTTACATGATTTCCCTTTAGAGTTTATAATCAGCAATGCTATTTTAATAATCTACATTTAGTTCCACTTTCTGTTTCTTAAATGCTAGTACAATGCAGCAGTGCTTTGGTTGCAGGCTCAGGAAGACATTTCGAAAGCCAACAAACGTGATCACCACAATTTGTTTTGGGTTAATATTATTCCTTTTAAATGTCATTAAATATTTCTACCAACACTGGTGTGGTTTAACCCAGCACACAACTAAGTACCACACAGCTGCTCACTCACATCCCACCCCCAGTGGGATAGGGAGGAGAATTGGGGGGGAAGGTAAAACTCCTGGGTTGAGATAAGAACAGTTTAATAATTGAAATAAAGTAAGCACTGTACCAGCTACTAAGAAGAAAATTAACTCTATCCCAACCAAAAGCAGGACAAACAATAAGTTTTGTAAATCTTTTTGAAAGTAATTAGATTTCTGACCTTAAGGTGTCTCATGTCAGGCAATAAAAATCAGCTTTAAGAAAATGCTCTGAATTAGCTTTAACAACTTTTCAACCTGTAAGAGATCAGCAGCTCCATACGATCTGATAGTGTAGTGGTAGCATATTTTTGCAATTCCTGGTATTCCTTGTGGCAGTAAATATGAAGCTTTGACATCACTATTGGAAAACAACAGGTTATGTTATGTAAACATAAGTGTCATCCACACTGAGCATACCTACACGAAACAGGCAGTATTCTTACAGTCAGCACAACTTTATAACCTTATTTTTGAAACCAGCCATGTTATTAACTCACCCAGTGTTATAAGGAATGAAATATTTATCCTATGAAAGGTAGAAATTAATAACAGTAACAATAATAACTTTAAAGTACATAAATATAAATGCATTATTAATCATTAACAGAAATCAGGCCATTAATATTGCTTCAAAGTTCTCTAGGAGAGGAACTGTAGGAAACTGAGGTTTTTCCTCTTTATCTTATACATGGCAACTTGTCCTCTATTAAACAAAAAAGTGATTGCTTAGGAAAAAAATCTGTTGTTATTTTGCATGACTGTCCCTCTTTTGACACCATCTGTGGTCAGATTAAATGCTGACATCTGAAGCAGCATCTCTGTGTTTAATCTCTTGTTGATACTTCTGCAGATTGAGAGGTAAAAAAATAAATAATAAAAAATGATTACATGAGGCTGACCAGTAGTACTAGTATGAGTTATGCCAGTGCCATCCTAATGAATTTCTTAAGTCAAATGTAAATATGACCCTGGAATGTGGAAACATACATTTTTCCTCTCTGAGGTCTAATAAAAATACAAAAGCTTTCTGTGTTGTTCAATATGGCATTAGAAGTGCTTCACAACATATCCCCAGACCCTTTGCAGCTTCTGAGGCTGAAATTAAAGTAAGCTGAGTTTCCTGCAGGACATGAAGTGTTTTCCTTTTAATTGTTTACAATTTGCTCTCTACTGTGCCTGTGCTTGGAGCCGATACCATAAAAAGCCACTGACAAATCTGAAGCGGCTGCTTTGCAGCCAGGAAAGCAGAAGAAACGTGTGCAGGGCCTTTCCTACTGACAGGCAATAACTCCGCGGTAAAAGACCCAGCAAAGTTACAAACCACATACTTTTGTCCTTGCATGGAGCATAAAATAGGTCACAGCAGAGAGACGCTGTGGCTTTAAGTATTGCCCGGCCTGAGCCGGATTATCATTAGGTTACGTAACTGCTGATGAGCTGCTTTTCATTAAGGCTTCCCCGAGTGGTGCTGGGAGCAGGCGCTGCCTCCAACAACCATCCTGGGGAAGGATTTCCTCCAGGCGTGCCGCCGTGCTCCTCCGAGCCCCGCAGTCTGCAGCTAGGCCGAGGTGATTGTGTGAACTGGCACATGCTAAGTCGCTTGTCTGAATGTGAAACAACCCATTCACCTTTATGGGGTTGTGCATTAATTTCAGCTAAAGTGTGTTTGCAAAGTTGTAAAAGTAAGAGGTTCAGAAAAGATGTTAAATCAGTGTGTTAAAAGCATCTTGGCTCCTGGCTTGGGGCTTTTTTTTTTCTTTAGTGAAATGCATCCTCTGATGCATAAAACCCCAGACCTTCATATCTTTTGGTGGTCTTGAACATGAGCAAAAAGACTGTTGCACAGGAAATGACAGAACAACACTGCAGCAAAACCACAGCACATCTACACCTCACACCTGAGGAGGTAAAAAAAAAAGTAGAACACAGATGGTTTTAAGCATAGAATCATGCATGCTTGAAGCACCACACAGTGTCCAGGTAGGACCCTCAGGTGCTGAAATGCTTGTGTCCATCACTGTTTCACCTCAGGATGAGCTGAAGACCAAGTGATGTTCATCCTCAGGTCTCAATTCTTCCATGTGCAGCCTTTCAGCTGTTGTAAGAGCTGACAGTGGTGATTTACCCTCTGGGAAGACCTTCCTCTGGCTCTCACAGGTGGCCAGGCCCCAGGCAGGCAGATGCATACTGCAATCCTGGCAACCTGCTAGTCCAGATGCCATCACCAAATGCCATTCTCGTACCCTTCTCCTACCATTTCCTCCTCCTGGTGCTCTCTCTCCTGGCATTCCTATTGAACCCTCCATTTAGACCAATTCAAACTTTTCTGTTGCATTTTTTGGGGTAAGTTGGTGGTGACAGAGAAGCTCAGCCTGAAACAGACTCAAGCCCATATTCAGCTCTAAAGAACCATACTCATACTAAGTGGAGGCAATACTATCATCAAACCATACTCATACTAAGTGGAGGCAATACTATCATCAAAGAAATTATTTATTACTTACTACAATGCTGAGTTTGGCCAAGAAATTTCAAAGTTCTGTATTATTAATCTTGCCTTCTTAGATTAATGACTGTACTCTGGCTACCTTGTGGTTTACAAGAAACTCAAAACTGGCTGCTTCATAATCTGAACTAAAGCCTGAAAATGGCTTTTAGCCCAAGTAAGTTGTAAGGAAAAAATGGGCTACAAGTGACAGCATCACACAGAGGGCTTATGGCAGGAAAGAGGACAACGAGGAGACCTTGGCACTGTTCTGGTTGGTGATTCCATCACTCGTTGCTTGACCTCTGCTTAAACGTCTTAAACACTGCTTTGTATATGTAAAATAAAGTTAATCATATCATCTTGTTTTACCAAGTGCTCAGGCTAGAAAAGATCTAACAATAGCAAATTATTTGTCAGATGAAGTCAGTTGGAAATTAAAGCTGCTTTCAGATAAAGTCTCACTCACCGCGAAATCACTTACCTGGTAGGAGAGGCCTTTGTTTTAGACTTAATTATAGTTAAGTTTTGAAGTAATTTAATTTTGCTGATGGATTTCATTTTTATTTCGTGTGTGTTTCAATGAGGCATTTAATCTTTTCTATAATACATTTTGAAGTCTCATTCATTTAAGTTGTCAAAGCCTGACAGCTCTGTAATGTGCTTAAACCCGGCATTGTTTATACCTGCATTCCATTTAAAAATTAACTTGTAGATTAAGTAATAAAAATGGTCTTATACTTCTCAGTGCTAATATCAGTGAAAACTTACAATGTCCCTACAGCGGAGATTAGCTCCTATATTACTTTCTCGTGAGGATTTCATGGAGGGGAATATTCTAACATTAAGCTCTGGTCGTGAAGGCTGAGCGTTTTCTGCCTGAATAAAACCAAAGTGGGCATAAACCTGCAGAGGCAGTGGAGAGCTGGCAGCTCAGGAAGACGCTGGGACTTTTACACAGCTTCCTTCCCTCGCTGCTGTCATGAAGTGAACAAGACCAGAAGGAATCTATTAGCACTTCCACCTAGATGTGTTGCAATGAAGGGTCATGCAGCAGCATGCAGTGGCTGTTAATGTTGCCTCAGCCCCTACCAAGAATGCAATTAAAGGAGAATCAGAAGCATTCGTTCCCTACCTTGTGGACAGCGTGAGTTCTGCAGCAGCAGATTTGTTGTGGGTGCGTGATCTCAGGTCACTGATCTCTGTCTTGCAGCTCCACTACTTCCCCGCTCATTCTGATGCTTTTGTTCACACACACAGGCCTGAAACTGTACAAAGAAGTTTACTATTTGTCTAGGTGAAGATGGACACAACATACAGCATTTTATATAGTATGCATACACAGTTAACCTGGCTGCAACTGATATAAAATAGTCCAAGAAAAGTCCTGCAGATCCCAAAATAACTAATAAGCCTGCAATCAGTGTTCCCTAGCCCTTTACCTGCCGAAGGGTTAACTCAGGCTTACCCTGCTCATTCCCTTCACAGGTGCTCCAGAGATAAGGAACCAGTTATGAAATACAGCTTGCGTGGGTTTTTTCTGGGAAGCAGAGAACCTCAGAGGTGACTGTGTGGACCCTAACAAAGGCGCAGATTTCCAAGGAAGACAGAAATTGAGATCAGAGGACAATGTGGGTGACCGCACTGGGTGGGTTTGCAACATTGTGTGTTTGACTAGGCCTTCTGAGGCCAACTTGTTTTGTTGTAACATAGGCACTCTCAAGCCTGAGGAATAAAGAGCCCGCATGGAGGAAAATGAGCCACCTGAAGCTCTGGTCTATTTTAGTTGTTAAACCCATTGAGTTGTTTTGCCTCATGACGCGTGAGGTGTTTGGGGATTTCACAGATCCACGCAGAGGGTGAATAATGTAACCAGATGCAACTTGAATGTGATAAAATAGTTGACAGAACAATTGTGGTCTGTCCATGTGCAGCAGCTTCGTGTGGAAATAGCCAGAAATGACAGTAAAGAAAGCAAACGACGGGTTGAGGTCTGCAGGGGACCATCTATCATCCCGTACTGCTTACTAAACTTTGTTTTGGTGTTCTGAGCTGACCCAAGGCACATTTCACTCTTTTTGATGCCTAGATTTAGAACGACACCAACACAAGACGAAGGCAGTAAGAGTCTTCTGTGAAGCCTTGGAAAACAAAACCCAACAGGTAACTTCCAGGACTGGATGCCTCTGCTCAGTGACAGCAGCTCCTGCCACATGAGCAGGGCAAGACCCTGTCACTTTAGGCTAGCCGAACATGGCCCCACAGCCAGGCGCTGCGATGTTGGGGGAGCCGGGAGAGGCTGCACCATGCCTCAGCCCGGGGAGGTGTGAGGGGTAGGGAGGGCTGGCCCGAAGCTGAGGCCAATATGGGGACAGGAGTGATGGCACCAGCGGGCCGGCGAGGTGGGCTTCCCGGCGGGCAGCGCCTGCCTGCGGCCGCTGCTGCCAGACCCCCCGGGCCACAACGGGCAGGTCCCGGCCGCCCCCCCTACCGCCAAGATGGCGCCCGCTCCCCCTACCCCTTCCCGGGGGGCGGCGGGCCCGCGGCTTCCCCAGCGCCTCCGCCCCGCGGTGCTGCCGCTTGGGTCAGGCCGGGCCGAGCCGATCGGCGGCGAGGGGCCGGTGACGGGAGGGAAGATGGCGGCTGAAACCGACTGAAGAGGAGGAGGAGAGATCCGACCCGGGCCGTGGCTGCCTCCTCCGTCACCGCCCCCCTCGTCCTCGTCCAGCTCCGCCCCGTCCCACCGGGAGGGAAAGCGGCGAGCGAGCCGGAGCCCCGCAGCCGCGCCGCGCTGCCCAGGCAAGGGGCCCCGGGTGCCCGGGAGCCCCGCAGCGGGAACCGGGGCCCCCAGAAGTGCCCGCCGCCGTTAGTGCTCCGGTCACCGCGATCGCCGCGGGGGCTGCTGCGAGCCGGCAGCCCCCCCGGGGCCGCCCCCGCCGCCTGGCCGGGGGAGTCGCTGTCGCGTTGCCCGTTGAGCTCGGCGGCCTCAGCCCCGGCGGGGGGAGGCGGCTGTCACCCAGGCAGCGGCGGCAGGTGAGTGGCGCCCGGCCGCGCCGCAGCTGGCGGCGGGGCGGGAGGACAGGCGGGCGGGCGGGCGGGCGGGCAGGCGGAGGGAAGGGGGGGGGGGCCGGCCCGGGCGCCCCGCCGCGCAGGGCGGGGGTGTGTCTGGCGGGGTCGGCACGCCGCCCCCGGCCCCCGCCGTAGCCCCTGGCCTGCGAGGAGGTGCAGCTGTCACGGGTGGACGGCCCGGCCCCCCGCCCCGGGGCTGCCATGGCGGCGGGCGGAGCGCGGAGGGGCGCCGAGGCCTCCCCCCTCTCCTCTCCCGCCCTCCTTCTCTCACGGGGGGCTGAGAGGGCCGCCCCGGGAGACCCTGCGCGGAGAACCTCTCCCGCTCCGGGCAGCGGAATCCCAGCCCTCCCTTTCCTTTATAACCCCTCACCCCTTATTAATGTAAAGTTTATTGCAAAAGTGAAAAAGCAGTTTTTTCCTCTTCTCGCCCCCCCTCCCCACCCCCAGCCTCTTCCCGGCTGGAAGATGGCTGAGGGGAGGCAGCGGAGCCGCGGCCGGGCCTGCGGGTACCCGCGGACTTCCCCGGGCAGGGAGGACGCTTCGTTTGGTGGCGGTTTAGGTGACAGCTCTTTGTCTGCGTTGTGGCATCGCATGTCCCCCCCCCTCGGTGTGTGTGTCTGTGGTCCCCAAAACCACCCCCAGCCACGGCAGGGCGGTTCTGGTTGTCAGAGGAGGCAAGTTAGTTGAGGGCTAAGGCAGCGGTGCGGCTGTCAGGGCAAGGTGGAGGTGGCCGTGAGGTACCGGGTGCGTCTTGGGGCCATCGAATCAGGGAACAGCCGAGTTGTCAGGCAGGGTGTGTGGGGAATTGGGCTCCCTGAGGGGTGTCTGAGCTTCCAGGTTTGGGGGGACGCTGCAGGAGGCTGGTGGCTAAGCTAGTGTCTGCCTCCCTGCTTCTAGCAGAGTGCTTGCCCTAAATTTGCTTCATTTCTCTTAGAGGCATGGACCAGCACCTGATTGCGAATAATCCTAAATACCTTTGGTGCATATGCAAGTGGTAGCCCTGGTTTGTGCAGTGGTGGGGTTCCAGCAGCTGAAACATGACATTTAGTGGTAGAAAAATCTGTTTGTGGAAGGGCTGTTTCCTTCCAATGTAGGTTGCTAGACATGCTTGAGCCCTCTGGTTTCCGAGGTGCGTTTTGACCTTTCAGTGGCTGAGAACTGGGTCGTGTGTGTTGGGTAATGATCTTCCAGTGTGTTTTGCACCCAAAAGATCATGTTTGCAAAGGTGGAAAGGTGTTTAGCACTGGCTGGGGCTGCTGCTTGCTTCCACTGGAAGCTTAATCAGCGTGCAGTAGATATCAAATGTTCACTACCCACATATGGCATAGCCAAAAAAAAAAGAGTGACACAGCAAAGTGTATTAAAACTGGAAATTTGGACTCATGTGGGTGGTGCTTGTATGTTCTTCACCCTGTCTCATGGCTTGTGTTCTTTGTGTTGCTGGTTTAGACTGAGGGAAAAAAAAAAGACTGGGTTTGTGTGGGCTGGCAGGATATACTTACATATGTGTGTGTGTGAGAGTTGCGTGTGTCTATATATAAGGAGTAATATACCTGCTGAGTTCTAGCAGCAAGATGATAAATGTGTATGAACAAAGAAGATGCTTTGTGTCCTTGTCTGGAAATGCGCTGTCCCACTGCGGTTTGGAGGTTGTGATCTTCTGCTTGCAGAATATTTCAGTAAACGTGTATGTGTTCTGAACTCTCTACGCTGTGCCCATTGGCTTTCTTACACAAGAAAAAGTAAAAAACACATGTATGTATGGAAGTACATGTAATATGTGGTACAGGTGTAGTTATGTACCTGGGCCTCTTGCAATGCAGGAGGGAGAGAAATGTTACAAACCAGGAAAACTTGGATACAAAGCCACAAATTTACAGGGAAGCTTGGAAGGTGATGTAGTTATCTGCAGCTTTGCAGAGCTATTTTGTGAAAATGATTAAAGTTCATGTTGCCACTTAAGGGGACAAACAGCTCTTGATGGTAGATAATAAAACAGTGGTAACTTTGGCAGTACTGCACCTGGCTCCAAGCCGATGGGCATGATGAGATGTTAAATCTCAACTTATTTGCTCAAGATGGGTATCTGTTGTTTGAAACGTGTTGCCAAACAATATGGCAGCACAAATCCTTGCTTCCAAAACAAATAGGCTTCCTGAGATGCGAGTGGAGGTTTGGCTCTTCAGAAGGCAAGCCTTTACTTCGTATTCTCTACGGGCCAACTTTGATTTTTTGTGTGTTTTCCTCAAGCCTTGCCCTCTGATAATGCTACGACACATGCTCACAACTGCATGACTAATTCATACAATTAGTCATACACTTCCACTGTAGATTTATTGGAGCAGTGTCACTGTTGTTCTTGTGTTGTAAAAGTCTGTATTTGGGAACATTGTGCCCGCTGTTGACTTGTCTTGGGTCTCTTGGTGGGGTTGTTGGGTGGGCTGTTATGAACATTTGAAGCCTTGAGGATAATTAAGCTTAATTATAGAAGCATATTTTTCAAGGAACATATCTGCTGGAGATCAGCACCTTGTTGCTTGTTAATCTGAGGGGGGTAATTTGCATGAGACTTTGCAATGATTGTTAGAAATGAAGGTGTGAGTGCTACTGCTAAAAATATCCCGTCTCCTACATAAATAGTTTGCCAGCTGAAAAACAGTATATTTTGTATAAGGAAACTATTTATATGACGAGTTATTCTTGTTTTGCTCGGTTGACTGTTTCTTTGAAGCATGGTTCTTATCTCTTTGATCAAAGGAATTAAAAAAAATAGTTTTTAAAGTTGGATTCTGCCTTTAAAGACAAGATTTTAAGCAGGAAGGGCTTGGACTAACAGATAAATATTTGAAGCAGGTATTCCTGAAAGGCCAACACAGTGTGTAATACCCCATAGCATGTGGCCACCGCTTCTACATAGGATCTTTAATTGCTGGCAGATGCAAACAAGCGATTTTTTTATTGGCGGTTCTATGTTATTTGTATTGCTGCAGCATCCAGGAACCCCAGGCATGGGCTGGGTTTTCAGTGGAGTAGGAGTGAGGCAAAAATGGAGCAAAAGTGCACTCCACTTCTCAAAACTTTCAGCCTAAACCTAGAGGCAGAGGAGCAGAGTTGTGAAGGGGAAGCAGCTGGCTGGTGGTGGTCAGCAGTAGACACAGTATCTGAGCAACCTAAATATGGAGTTTTGGGGTTTAGTTTTAATAATGTTGCAGCGAACAAGTGCTTTATCGTCTTCTGCGAGCTGACTGCCTGCTGTTGTGCTGCTGAAGCTGGGCTGAGCCCACTGCCAGGGCTGATCCAGCCCCTCAGAGCCACGGTGGGTGAGGGAGGATGCACAGGAGCAGCTCTGCTGATCGGTCTGAGAACAGCCAGGAGCTTTAACCTCTTCCCCCAGCACAGCAGGATTTGGAATAGGATGTTTGCCTGTAGCTGCAATATTAAAAATTATGGCTTGCTTGTAAATAGCTTCAACTCTTTGCATACCTAGCCTTGCACATGTGAGTCAGGGTGATGCAGAACAGGTTTTTACCACTATGGCAGCATCTCCATATAAAGTGTGACCATTTGAAATCCTGCGGTTTTGCTGTGGGACAAATTTTAAAGGACTCAGAGGCCTGGTCTAGGTACAAAGGATGTGTCAGCACCATGCACTTTACCTGGGCTCCTGTCATTTACAAAGGAGAAAAAGAAAACCAAAACTGCTGAACTGGTTTGGAGTTTCTTTAAGCCTGAACTAATTTACCAGGCTGGGAATGTAGGTTAGAAACTAGGCTTTGCTTGGCTTTGGGCTAGTGCCAGTATGCTCCGCAGGGAAGACACAGGCTAAATAGCTTCTGCGCTGATAATCCTGCAATACCGTTCCTACTGTTTCCCCTGAAAAGATAGGTAGGTTCTCATGCAGTTGACCTAATTGACTGGGAAGCAACTCCAACACATCTCAGCACAAGGAGCAGCAGGATGTTTCCTTTACATGCCCTTGGGTGAGTGGGGGGAAAAAGTGGAGATGGACTTTTGTGCACAGACCTCACCCAATTGCTCAGGTCCGAGGGATGAGGTTGCAAGGCCTAAAC